TGCAGCATGTACTGTATTGGTTACAGCTTTATACTTATAGCTATCATGTTTAAATTGTCCTGTTCAACACTGTAGATCGGACAGCTACGGTCATTTGATATATTACATTGGGGACGGCTTTATACTTATTATAGTTATCATGTTTAAATTGTCAGTCTGTTTAACACTGTACATATCGGAAAGCCACAGTCATTGGATGTACTGATACTGACTGTATTAGGTACAGCTTTATACTTATAGTTATTCTGTTGAACACTATACACACCTGACAGCTACGGTTATTGTACTTTTATATAGATTTGCTTTGATAGTGTGTAGTTTTATAATAATCTATTCAGATTGTTTTTTCAAGACTGTTGATATTGGTTAGGGACCGGTCATTATTTATGGAAGGGGGGAGGGGAATTTTTTCTTTTCTAAATTTTTAAAATTGAAATCCCCCCCCTAAATGGCAGAAATTTAATGATGCCCCCCCTGCATATTAGAATATTTTTCTTTGACCCCCCCCCCCATTTTCATTTTTACTCGTCAAATGGGGATACCCAGGCGTTATAGTATTAATTATTAAATAAGAATATGGAACTAGCAAGATATTAACGTCGACCAAAAATATATATTGATTAGCAGAAAATTGTAATTAAAAGAGGAGTATTTTTATATATAACACTAAAATCAGGTTTCCATTTGGTCTGGGCGATCGTAACCATGTTTAAGGCTGCAACTAGACTTGATGGTACGAAGTATTGCCATAGCAGCTGCACGGCAACAATGAGAGCAACAATCAGTAAAATTAGCAGCAAAAGGAGATAGCAATGACAATTCTGCCAAGGCATACCTGCGAAATACAGTATATAGTGGTCTATACATCCTATTTTATGTGAGATTAAAAATTATATAAAAATGACATGTACTAGCTACCAGATAAAATCTTTTAGAATGAACATGGGTGGGTGGGTCGGGAAAAGGTATCGAAGCGCAAAACTTGCTGCAGCTAGGCAAAGCATACAATGGTAGAATGAATACCCAGACCGAAGCACTGATCACAAGGCATGAAACAACCCCCTTTGATCGATATGATGTCACAGATTCCCCGCAGCGGATGTGGCCTGCATAATACAAACGCTGTTAACCTTGCTTAATTTAAATGTATTTAACCACATCAAGAGCTGATGTAATAATACATTGTCAATTTAACTAGTCTGCAATCCGTAAAGACTGATTTGCATACTGCATACAGCACACACAAGACAAGATGAATCCAGACTATTTCACATCAGTGACCATGATTTAGTTGCAACATTTACAACCAAATGGATATCAGGTTATTAAGCAAATTCCTTCAAGTTTAATTGCAACACCCCCTGTCATTTTCTTGAAAAAATTTAATAGCCCCCCTTCTAGTCATTTCTACATATGCCCCCCCCTTATTTTTTCTCTCCCCTCCCCCCTTCCATAATTAATGACCGGTCCCTTATTTTTAAAAATCGAGGATGTCTTTAAAATTAAACTGTTTAAACCTGTAAGATCTTCGGGACCGATTTTATATTATGTCGTGTTTTACCAAATAATGTCCTTGCCCTTGCACAGTTCCCATTTGTAAAAAACTGCTGTAAATCATATCCCCCTTTAATTAATTTGATCTCATCCGTGAGTCGGCCTCGAAGGCCTTTGATTTGAAATTTTAAACATTTTCAGCAAATCAGAGAGCTTTATTTTGTGACGTAACGCCGGGAGCAGTCATCCCGCATAGTTTTGACCAAATTGAGCCATTTTTCTCGGAATTTTCGCAAAATTAATTCGTTTTAAAGTGATGAGAGAACAAAAAAACACAATGTAGAAGTATTGCAGTTATTTCGTACCATAGTGAGTTAGTTTTTTAAGTGAATTTCGATGTTTATGTACGAGTTTTTTCGTCATTAAATTTGTGTATACAGTTTTAAATTTGTATTTAGTTGCCAACCTAGCTTGGGGGTATATACACGCGTAAAAATCATCGCACGTTGATCAACAACTTGTTCACGATTGTTCAGAACAGGTTGCAGCAATGTTGTGCTGCACCCTGTCAACAAGGCTTGTTAACAATATTGTTCACACTTGTTCGAACAATGTTGTTGACGCCTGATGAACGAACAAGGCCTGAACAACGTTGTTGGAACAACTGAGATCAACCTGATATCAATGATGTTTTATATTGTCAACAACTGCGAACAGTCTTGTTTTATCAATACGTAAACAACCTGATATCAATCGGTTTCGACGCTGTTATTCGTGGCCATTTTCCAGGGGGGGAAGAGAAATTTAAAGGCACAGTTCAGCCTTTTGAATGATGGTTTTTAAGGTGCATTACAAGCCTTTTAATTGAAAAAACTAATTAGGAAAATCAATTAAGCACAATTCAAGATCAGTGATTTCAATGGTTTTAACATTTTTAAACATTTCTAATGTTTTTTAACATTGAGTTCACTGATTTTGAATTATGCTTAATTGATTTTCCTAGTTAGTTTTTTCAATTAAAAGTCTTGTAATGCGCCATAAAATCCATCACTCAGAAGGCTGAACTGTGCCTTTAAATAAGCACACAAACAGACAAACTTCGCTTCTTGATATGAAATTCAGTTTATTTTGAAATAAGAAAATACAGATTAGTGAACAAATACAAACTAAAGAGATAATTACAGTAAAAGTACAAAGGTAAGATAATTATAAACTATTTTATATGCAATTAAGGTTTATAAAATACTAAGTACTATTTATAAATCTAAATACTTCATAGTGTTAAGTGTTTTGACTTTTGAGTTCATATTAAATACTGGCAGAGGGCCAACCCCATTCCTGGATCACTTAACCTGAAATTCAGGCCCTACTTTCAATTTTCTGTCTGCATCCTTTTGAATGTTCAATATTTTTAACCTTACATTAATGATAATGATTATTCAATTAAAGTCAACAATTTCTTTTTCATCCTGAGAACATCCAGTTAATTCAGTCCTCCTGAATTTGTTTGACACTCCTTAGCAGTGATATTTCTGTAGATTTGCCACTATTTTATTCCAGATATGAACTCACAGGCCCTATAAATTAAGATTAAATACAAAGTGCCATTAATTTACAAAACGGACCTTTGCAATGTTTATGCATGCACTAGTCAATTGAAACCCCCAACCCCGGGACAGGGCGGGGAATTAATGGGGGAATGGCCGTGGATTAACACGGTCTTAATGCAGATTTCCCCCGGGGTACAGGGTAAATAACAAGTCAATTTATTAGCCAGGACAATTCCCAAGTCATGAAAATTTCCCAAGTCATGAAAATTTGCAAATTAGTGCTGGGGCCATAGGGACAGTAATTTTAACAGTCAATATTCTCCCGGTAGCAGGGAAATGTCCAAAATTTAACATTGTCAAAATGTTAATTTCCCCTCCCTATCCCGGGGGTCGGGGTTTCAATTGACTAGTGCATTATGGTGGGATGCAGCCCCAATTGTATGTTTCCCACCATATTTTACATGGCTCATGCCATATAACTTCAGTACATGGTCATTTTTGGATCCATGCCTGGGACATATCATAATCTTGAATCTAATTTGGGTATTCAATCATGTTTAAATTAATAGACATAGGCAGTCCACATATGGACTGGTCATGCTATGTCTAAGTGCATGGCTATTGCCAAAATAGCCTCCATCTACACAGAACACAACAAAGGTATAAAAATTACTTACCAAGTGATCACCCATTGTATATAATTTGTCTGACATATTCATAAATCTTTATTTTTATACTTAAGTTTACACTACAAAAAGGATAAAAATGAGACAATAATTACATGTGAGCATAATAATGGTCATAAGGGACAGTTCATTATTTATACCAGGGGTTGGTACCGAAGAGATATGGGTTGGGTAATCAGGTTTTTGACTAGCTGATGGGTTGGGTAAAAAAATTACCATGCATTGGAAAATATAAAGAAAAAATGTGTACAATACGTTCTGTACAAAAATAGACCATCAGTGATTGAGGAAGGACTCCATCATTGATCAGCAAGGACTCCATCATTGATCAGCAGAAACGTGATTGCTTTGGCACACTCAGTGAGTTTACGAGCTTTTAGAATTTAAGCAACTTCATTTCTGTAACCATAATCTTGTGTGTTTAATTATTATGAAGTACAGCAACACATGGGTTGGGTAAACATTATTTTGACCATTGTTGAGGTTGGGTAAATGAAAGATTTACAGTGTTTCTCGCTTCTCTTCGGTACCAACCCCAGGTATAAATAATGAACGGTCCCTAAGTATCCCCCATAGCCATGTGATAAAATCATAGCTACCTCCTTCATATACCTTCCATGACAATTATAGTCACCTGCTTAACCAGGAAATAAAAGGAAATATGAGAAATGGCTAATTATTTAACTGTATGCACTCTTACCTACCTACCTATAATCTATCCATTACATATTATATGCAGTAAATACATCATTCTTGGTGTGTAAACTGATCAAGTATTTGGTTGACCTTGTTAAAACACAATAGGAATTGTTTATATATAGCAGTGATCAAACTTAAATTAATTACAAACAACAATAGGGACGGAAGGAGCGGAGGACATATGATATGATAGCGTTTTTGACATATTCAAATTTCAAAGTTAAAAAGACTCTGACAGAAATTTAGAGTGTAATTGGAAAAATTTAAACAATATTTTGAGAATTAAATGTTTTGTTTATATTACGGCTTTTATTACAGTATAACAGCGGTTTCTTGTTTCATATATACTGAAAATATAGAGAAAAATATCAAAATGCAATGCCTATATAAAAGTACTATAAAGTTTAAATGTGCGTGTGCATTTCTTCGTCGTGCACTATGAAAATGACTAAAATCAAAAGGTCGGGTTGTTTTAAGCTTTTACAACTAACCTTACCTCAAAACAAGACACTTACCAAGTTATTTTTTTCAGTATTTTCCTCTCAATCTTCAGAAAAAACCACAAAGTTTAAATGACATTTATTTTGCTGTAAAAGCCCGTTTGATTTCTTGCTCTCGTGATATTCGTCGCATTCGTCCGTTTTGCATCCCAGCGATTTCGAAACAACCAATAAAAACAAGTTTTTGTGTTGTTCAAATCATTATTTTACTGTCTATTTATAACAATGCTGTTCACGGTTGTTCGAACAACTAAAAACAACTTGTTCTTTCATCAATGTTGTTCACGCCTGTTCGAACAATATTGTTGACGCCTGATGAATGAACAACGCTGAACAACATTGTTCTGACAACATCTATCAAGCATGTTTCATCAACCTTGTTGACGCTTGTTCCATCATGTTGCAACAACCATTGTTCGTTCATCAAGCGTGAACAAGTTGTTGGAACAATGTTGTTAACGATTGTCGCTTGAACAACGTTGTTCAGCCATGATAACAACATTGTTCAGGCATTGTTCAATGAACAACGCCGAACAACCTGATCAATTTTTACGCGTGTACTTTAGATACCTGCCGGTCAGCGGAAAAACATTTTACATTACTGTATGTAATCTAAATAAAGCTATAAGTAAACCAAAAGCCCGAAACGTAATAAATATTTTCTATACATGACTTGGCGCACCACATTTGGAATATTAAGAGCTATTTTAGTGGTTTATTAAGTCTTATTCAACCAAGAAGTGAAATTAAACAAGTCGTTTAAAAAAGGGTGCAAGTATCGAACGATACCACGTCAGTAATCGATACCGATACCGCTGTTTGTGGTATCGCTGGTATCGAATACCGAGTACTCGGTATCGCCCATCACTAGTTTCATTCCCCCTCTTGCAAACCGTTGCACGGCCAGTATAAATTTGAACGCAATCACGAAAAAAAAATTAAAAACATGGCCAATTCAATGCAATACATTTTAGGAGCAAACTGTTTTGCTCCTAAAATTTACTGCATTGAGTTCGCTGTCGGAAAAAAGTCGAGGAAAACTTCCCCGTGTGGAGAAAAGAATCACTTTTTCAAATATATTGTGTCGTACTGTCGTTCTGGATGCACAAGGAAACTAGAGATATTCTTGCGAGAAAATTTCATTTCACAGGTAGGTAAATTGACTTGCAACTGTGACTTTGCCGTTGCCATTTTTCGCGATTGTTTGAATTGTTTTTAGTTTACCAGTTTTATAGTTTTTAGTCAATACACTGGTACGTTATTTTTTAAAGAATTTATGTGTGATCGGAATTTGCCTGCCAGCAAAATGTAAATGAATATGTACGTGTTTTGAATATAAATTAGACCATATGGGCTTAGTAAAAAATTATTTTAATAACTACGTTTCGGAGTATAACTCCATCTTCAGGTTAAAAGTGAATAAAGATATAAAAACTGTGATAAAAACTTTCAAAATAATTACAAATTTTATATGTAAGTGATTTTTAATACTGTAAGAAAGTTCTTGAACAGTTGATGACGAAGACAATGACGAATACTTATGTCGTGATTTTTTTGTCGGCTTCACTTTTCGCTCGCTGTTATCATTCCAGATATATATATATATAGAGTTCACTGCCTAGACCTAGGCCAACCCATTGAACTATAAATAAACTGGAAGGCTAACTGCTATGATGAAGGCCTATGATTTGATGAAGCCAAAATAGTTTTTCTGAGTTATGAGCAGAAATACTTGACCCCAAACGTCGGCCTATATATCAAATTGAAGCTATTGAAAATTGCTATTCGGTGTGGAAATTTCAAGACTTCAGCGAAAAGAAAAATATTTAAAAAATACAAAAACAACTGCAAAACGGCAAATTATCGGTAATTATGTTTGTAGTTTTTCAATATTTCCCTTTTAGCTAAAGTCTTGAAATTTCTACACTAAATAGCGTTTTTCAATAGCTTCAATTTGATATATAGCCCAACGTTCAGTGTTGAGTATTTCTGCTCATAACTCAGAAAAACTAAAATGCACTGGCTTCAATTCCCCCCCTGAGTTAGCCTTCCAGTTTATT